TGTTTCACCAATTTATCCTTCCCGTATTATTATTATCTATTAAAACAGTGCATGCGCAAACAACTAATTGTCAAACAATTTTAGATTTAATATTAATTGTTGACGATAGTGGTAGTGTTGCTGTATCAGATTTTGAACAAAACTGTTGTTTCAGTTTTTCAAAAAACTCACTTAATAATTTTCCGAAAATTTTAAGGCTGAGGTCCCCCTTGGGGTGTCGAAACATTTTTCTTTTCTTAAAAGACTGGAAGATATAGCATCGGACGCAAAATTTTCTATATGCGGATGCCGAAACCGAAGAAATCTATCGAACTCAAAATTTTTGGTTGAAAAAGTCGTTGAATTATACATCATTCGAATTAAATCCAAAACAGTATAAATACTGGTACTGATGCATACCTAGACGGTAGCCAATCACAAGCTCTCACGTTGTGCATCGGGTAGTGCTAAAAATTAATGTAGGTATGATGTATCCACCAACGACAAAATGATTGCAAATCGTATTTTTGATATAAAAGCCCGAGTTTATGCATTGGAAGAAATTTAAATTAAGACTTAAGTAGAACAAGAGCAGACATTTCTAATACAAAGAAAGCTAAAACAGAAACACAAATACAGATTGAGTTTTTGTGATAAATTGTGGAACAACTTTTTGTGATACAGCGTTGCATTCTTCATCGACAGCATTTTCTAGTTCACCTTGTGATGTTGGATTATTATTTTTTTATTTTTTCATTATTCATCTTTCATATTAGCTCAATAGGGTTAAATTCAGAATTATATCCTGGCTATTCACATAATTCAACAGCATTTCTCTGATAGCATAGGTTAATGTAATTTCACTTCCTCAGAAATATATCACCACTATAGGCCAAATGATGTATCACATAAAAATATCTATATGGTGATTTTTCATTTATAATTTTTGGTCGTTCTTGAATTAATTCTTTACATTTCGTCGAATTTGTTTCTTTCGCATAATTTAACATATCGTCTATTTTTTTTAAACGATTAATTTTTAAATGTATTATGAATGATGTACAAACTGTTAATTACACCCCAAAACTGTAGTACATCGAAAAACTAGTTTAGAATACTCGCTTCAAAACTTTCTTTTACGGTTATGATTCAAACTCGCAATGTTTTGCGAATATTTCTGCCCCGGTACAATTACACAACGTTTCGTGTAAAATATCTGTTTTTGATCGTTTTCACCAAAAATCAAAATTCATATTTCAATAAGAATGAATTAATTTGTATCCTCTCATCCGTGACATGGTAGATGTGAGCTATATTTCGACAAAAAGAATATAATGAAAGAAGGCCATAAACGGAAGAAATGCAGTATTGAACAGTACCGAACTCCGCTATTAACTGATATTGAGATAACGATGTTAGACAAAAGCCGTAGAAGGCAAATAGTAGAGTAGTGATCGAAGGAACGCGTGTAGTATGAAAAAAGAGTTTTTCGAATTTTTAAAATAATCTATCCTTCTTCTAGCCTGCAGTCTATTATCCAAAGATACCGATCAGAGAGCAACACATCACATTCCGATCTTTGCAAAAATCTATGCCCCACCATTCCAATAGGGTACGTTAGTAATCTTTTTCTCGTGTTGTTTGGCTAAGTCACTAATTGTTTTTTCCGGATAATTATGAAGCGCTTCAGTTTCTTTGTAGTCTATAGAGATGTCATCCCATGTCTCTGATCTATTGGCTCTGATCTACTACATAAAAAATTAAAATAACTTTTGTACATTTCCAATATTATTAAAATACAGATTTGTTAAACTAAATAAAATGAAGTTGTTTTTGTTTTTCTAAAATCGATATTTAACCAATTACACCACCATTTAAATCTGTTATTTTTGATTTAAATGTATATTTATTTTGATTATTTAAACCTTTAAAACTTGTGTAAAATTTTGTACTACCAGGTGGTATATATTCTATATAAATATCAACTGTTGATTTACCATCTTGTTGTTGTCGTTTGCCTTCTGCAATAGCTTGTCTACTATTATCACTTGTTGGATTTGGTTCAGTTAATGATGTATAAACTTTTACATCACCTGCTGTAACATTAACAGCTGTTTCCATAAAACCACCCATACCATTTCTTAACCCTTTTATTTCTGCCTGATAAAAACGATAAGTGTTTTGTTCAACCTCGCTTTTATAAACTACACCTACTTCAATAAATGCTGGTACTTTACATGCAATGATTGTTACTTCATTAATTACTTGTGTTAATTGTAAATAATTACTTAAACGTAATACATATGTTTCATAAGGTTTTGTTGCAATCAGTTGTAATTCAAGTTCATTAATACCGCTGCCAATACCAACAGCAAATACAGTTGCTTTCGTTTGTTCACGCAATAACGCACTTTCTTGCCCTACCGGTTTACCAGTATTACTATTACCATCAGTAAATAATACAACAGCTCTTGGTATAGCTTCTGTTTTCTCACGACATTCTCTATCACAAATTTGTCTTGCACGAGAGATAGCGTCACCCGTTGCTGTACTACCACCAGTATACTTTAAATTTTTTATAACGTTAACAATTGCACCTTTTAATTGATTTGTACCAGTTTTGCTAAATATATATGAATCTTCCACTGTTGTTGAATATTTTATAATACTAATATGTACTCTGTGTGGACCAATATTTAAACGTTCTGTGAGATTAGCCATAGCCGACTTGGCACGTTCAAAATCCGATACAGCAACACTACCACTATCGTCAACAATTAATATTAAATCTAAAATTGTTTGACAATTAGTTGTTTGCGCATGCACTGTTTTAATAGATAATAATAATACGGGAAGGATAAATTGGTGAAACA